TGCTGCTGCTGCTGCTGCTGCTGCTGTGACTCGTCTCGAATGAGAGAGAGAGAGTTGACCATCTCAGCCCGCCGCGTCTAAAATGGTGATTGCCGACAAAAAGGACTCTCTTTCTCGGCTCACCACCGGCAATCCTCACCCGCTGTGCTGCACCTTGACGGGGCGCGCCTGCACGCTGACTCGAGCCGGCTTCATCTGCCCCCAACCCCCGTGCTCATCCCCGGCCTCATATTGTAGCCATGATCTTTGCCGCACCTGCCCATGGTCGCATGACACCACACTCGACGCAGTGTAATTTGAAGCCATCGCGGCGCTTGCATTCATGCATCCCCGTGCATCCCTGTGCATTGCAAAGATACAAAGATACAGCAGCGCTCAGCATGAAGCGATGGACTTCGAGTGTCCGTTGCAGAGAGAGAAAGAAAAGATGATGCGGGCGAACTAGGACTTGCGTGTCTGCTCGCGTGCCGCCTTGATGAGCGGTGCCAGCGTGCGCAGGCTCTCGGAGCGCTTGAGGAACGGATGCGCCAGCATGCCCACCGCGTCCGGCCGCCTGTCGGCATCCACATCGAGGCACGTCTTGAGAAAGTCCTTGAACGTGTTGGACAGATTCTCGGGGTTGTTGATCTTGGGCGTGCCGTTGGTGGCGATCAGGTAGAGCGCACGCAGCGGGTTCTCGTTCAGGTACGGCGGTTCGCCCTCCACCATCTCGATGCACATGATGCCCAGACTCCAAATGTCCACCTTGGGCCCGTACTCCTTGCGCGTCACCACCTCGGGCGCCATCCAGTACGGCGTACCCACCATGGTGGTGCGCTTCGCCTGCGACTCGCCAATCTGCGCGCAGAATCCAAAGTCGGTCAGCTTGATGTCGCCCTGCAGGCTCAGCAGCACGTTGTCCGACTTGATGTCGCGGTGGATCACGCCGTGCTCGTGCAGGTGTCGCAAGCCCTCGAGCACCTCGCGGCTCACCGCCGCAATCTGCCCCTCGGTCATGATGTTGCACGTCACCACGTCCGTCAGACTGCCGCCCTCCATGTACTCCATGACCACCCACAGGTCGCCCTTGAAGAGGAACGAGTCGATAAAGTTGACAATGTTGCGATGGCGCGACTCCTTCATGACGAGGATCTCGTTGATGATCAGATCCTTCTTGGGCTGCTGCTCCAGGTTCATCTGCTTGATCGCCACCGAATGATTCGTGCCCACCTGGTACGCCGTGAACACGCCGCCACTCGCGCCCTGCCCGATCTTGGACAGGCTCCTGTACAGCTTGGTCGGGTCTGCATCCGTGCATATCGCCTGCAGCTTGGCAATCACGTCCGAGTCCTTGACGACGTTCTTCTTGGTCTCGCGCCTCCTTGGCACCGCGCCCGGTCCCTGTGCCGGTGCCGCTGCCGCTGCCGCCTTGGCATTTTTGGCAGTGGCTGAGCTCGTCGAAGTGCCGTTTGTGGTGCCAGTTCTGGAAACAGAAGCACCAGAAGCGCCCGGCTGCCTGGATCCGATGGGCGGCGAGCCTGCTTTGGTGGCCTGACCCGCTCCAGGCGCAGGGGCGGGTCGCGACGGCTTGAGCGCGACGTCGCCGGTGGCGTGGGGCGCGCGCAGATCGGGGCTGCCGATGTCGCCGGGTCTCTTGGCATGCAGTGCACCGGGCGGCACGGGAGCAGCGCGAGGCTTTTCGTAGAGCACGGGCTGAGGCCCGGATTTGAAGCCGTCGTCGCTGCTGCTGGTGTCGGTGCGTGGCGTTCCGGGGGCCTGGTTGTTGCCCTTGGCGTAGCCCATCTTCTTCCACACATCTGTGTCGCCATCGCTCTTGGTGGCATCCTGGTAGAAGGCGACAATGTCCATCACCGCCTGCGGGTTGGCCTCCTGGTCCTGGCGCGAGATGCCCGACTCCTGCAAGAGTTGCTGCCACTCCTTGGGCAGACCGGTGAACTCGCCCGTGTCCGAGTTGAAGCCGACGTGGGTGAGGTGGACGGGGTCGTAGGGCGTCGAGATCTCGATCTTCTTTTGCGCCGAAAACACGTCGCTCATCGAGTTGACAAAGCCGCCAAAGACGCTCTTGAACGTGTTGCGGCCTCCGGGTGTGGCGCTGCCGTCGCGACTTCGCTCGCGGTCGCGGCTGCCGTGCACAAACTGGCTCTGTGTGGTGAGCGAGGGCGTCGACTCGCCGGGTGCACCGTGTTCGAGCGTTGGTGACGACTGGTTGAGCGTTGGCGAGCCGATCATCTGGTGCTGCTGCGGGCCGATGCTCGAGTGCGAACGCTGCGCCATGACGGGTGCCACGTGCTGCGAGGCGGTCACCGACGACACCGTGTGGAAGGTGTCGGGCCCAGACGTGTTGGAGCGCACAGGTCGAGGTGGAAAGGGCGCGTTGGACGTCGAGGCACCGGGCGCGTTCGACGAGTAGGGCGAGGCCGAGACGGGGCCCGAGACAGGGGATGCGGCTGGCGGATGGCCGCCAACGCCAAAGGGCAGGCTAGACTGAGCGGGCAGACCGGAGCGAGGGCCCTGCATAGCTTGGACGGATGTGTTGATGGTGGGGTTGGGTCGATAAGGACCTGCTGCGGCCGCCGCCGAAGCGCCTGCGGACCACGCCGCGGACGATGTGCCGTTTGCGAATGTGGATGCCGAGGTGGAGGTAGGCGAGGCGGAGGTGGACGAAGGGCCGGCCTGACGCGATGCGAAGACGGAGCCAGAGGCTGCGGTCGAGTTTGGATGGCTAGGCGGAGCGGGTGCGCTGCGTTTGGGGACGAGATTGAGGTCGCCAAAGTCGAAGCTGCTGCCGAGGCCAGAGAAGGTGGCGTCTGGATTGCCGATGCCTTCTACGCCCTTGAGGTAGTTGGGGGTGGTGCTCGAGGACGGATCGGTATGAGCGACTGAGGGGGGCATGGGTGGACGCGACGTGGCTTCGGCAAGAGCATCTGCAGTGCGTGGCATGACCTGTGCGCCATGGAAGTCGTGCGGGTGCTTGATCACCGAGCGTTTGGGTGATTGATGCATGATGGAAGCGATTTCTGCCAGCGGTGGAGGAAGCTGATGAAAGCAGCAGCAGCACTAGCACTGCTGGATCTATTGAGGGCGTTCGAGTGTCAGCCTGGTGATGTTGCAAAGGTTGGGAGGTGGCTGAATACAAGAGGGAGCCTGGAGAAGCGGTGACAAAAGCAGCGACGTTGATTTATAGCAGCCGGCGCGGCATGGGTTTGAGACGGCGCAGCAGGCAGACGGGTCGGTTCGAGGTGCGATCTAGGTGCTGGCGAAGTGGGCGACGATGCGCGTCGCGTGCGAATCTGGATGGGTACGGTGAAGGACAGAGCGCGATGCTAGCGCCGGTGCGATGGCGACGATGGTGGTAGGCGGAAGGCGGCGACTGCGATGGGCGGTGAGGGGTGAGGAACGCGCGCAGAAGGCACGATGAAGGTAGCGTTGTGCGCTCGACGATTAGATCGAAGGGGTCCGACCCTAACTCGCAACTGATGCGCTTTCGCTTGATTCGGTGCTGCGCTGCCACCCACCCTCACGCCTCTTGGCAGTCGAGCGCGCGCTGGCTGGCTGGCTGGCTGGCTGGCTGGC